GTGCCGAGGGGGGGCCGGGGGGGTCTGGCACCGCAGGCACACGCTCCTTAACACGGCCCCAACATCTACCACTTCCACCAGAAGAATGGCTTCGCCTGCATGATGCTCTCCGATATCTTTGAGCTGGTGTAAGTGCCGGCGGGACACCCGCCCCCACCCACTGTGCCACGCCACGCCACGCCATGCCATGCCGGGCGGTTGTGGGACGAGAGGCCGTGCTGATCCTCCACCACCCCCAGGCAGTTCCTGTTCGTTGTCACCTTCACCACCTTCCTGCTGTGCTGCGTGGAGTATGACGTCCTCTTCGCCAACCGGCCGCTCAACCACAGCCACGCTGGGGGAGCAGCCCCCGACCGCAGCAAGGTGACGCTGCCCGACGCCGTCCTGCCCGCCCCGCAGTGCGCCCAGAGGTGAGGAGCGGGACCGGGAGCCACTGGCACGGCCGCACAGGTGCCCCAGCGCCGCTGGGTCCCCGCCTGACACGAGTCCGCTGCCAGGATCCGGGCCAGCGGCTGGATCATCTTCCTGCTGGTGATGGCGGCTGTCTTCTGGCTGTACCGGCTGGTGAAGGTGCTCTGCAGCCTGCTGAGCTACTGGGAGATCCGCACCTTCTACATCAAAGCCCTCAACATCCCCTCGGTGAGCGGGGCCACGGGGAGCGGGCTGGCTGGGCAGGGGCCGGCAGTGCGGTGCCGTGCCGGTGTTGATCGGTGTGTTGTTGGTGCAGGAGGGACTGTGCAACTACAGCTGGCAGGAGGTGCAGGCGCGGCTGATCTCGCTGCAGCGCCGGCAGCAGATGTGCGTGCACAAGAAGGAGCTGACGGAGCTCGACATATACCACCGCATCCTGCGCTTCAAGAACTACACGGTGGCCATGGTCAACAAGTCGCTGCTGCCCGTCCGCTTCCACCTGCCGCTGCTCGGCCCCGTCGTCTTCCTCACCCAGGGCCTCAAGTACAACCTGGAGCTGCTCCTCTTCTGGGGGCCCGGATCCCTCTTCCAGAACAAGTGGAGCCTGCGGCCGCAGTGCAAACGGGTGGGCGCCCGGCGGGAGCTGGCCCGGCGCCTGGCACGTGCCATGGTGCTGCTGGGGCTGGCCAACCTGCTGCTCTGCCCCTGCGTGCTGGTCTGGCAGCTCCTCTACGCCTTCTTCAGCTACGCCGAGGTGATCAAGCGGGAGCCAGGCAGCCTGGGTGCCCGCCGCTGGTCCCTCTACGGCCGCCACTACCTGCGCCACTTCAACGAGCTCAACCACGAGCTGCAGGCACGGCTGAGCCGCGGCTACAAACCGGCCACCAAGTACATGAACTCCTTCACCAGCCCGCTGCTCACCGTGCTGGCCAAGAACATCGGCTTCTTCGCCGGCTCCATCCTGGCTGTGCTCATCGTCCTGACTGTCTACGACGAGGATGTGCTGACGGTGCAGCACATCCTCACCGCTATCACACTGCTGGGGCTGGTGGTCACTCTGGCCAGGTGGGTGTGCTGGGCCGGGCCGGCAGCGGGCATGGTGGGCGACAGGGTGGCCGAACGGGAGGTAGAACGCCTGCCCTCTGCCCGCAGGTCCTTCATCCCCGACGAGCACACGGTGTGGTGCCCAGAGCAGCTGCTGCAGCGCGTCTTGGCCCACGTCCACTACATGCCCGACCACTGGCAGGGCAACGCCAGCCGCTCGGAGACACGCAGCGAGATGGCGCAGCTCTTCCAGTACAAGGCGGTGAGCACAGGCAGAGCCGGCTGGGTGGGTGGTGGGACTCCCTCCAGACACCCCCTGACACTCCCGTCGGCCACAGGTCTTCATCCTGGAGGAGCTGCTGAGCCCCATCCTCACCCCCCTCATCCTCATCTTTGCCCTGCCCGGCCGTGCCCTGGACATTGTCGACTTCTTCCGCAACTTCACGGTGGAGGTGGTGGGGGTGGGTGACATCTGCTCCTTCGCCCAGCTCGATGTCCGCAACCACGGCAATCCCCAGGTGGGGGGAGTCCTGGGGCTGGGGGGCTCTCAGGAGTGGGGGGGTCCCAGAGGTGGCAGCCCCGCTTACCCCCCTGCCCCGCAGTGGCTGTCGGCTGGGCAGACGGAGGCCTCCGTGTACCAGCAAGCGGAGAATGGGAAGACGGAACTGTCGCTGATGCACTTCGCCATCACCAACCCACGCTGGCAGCCGCCGCCACCGAGCGAGCTCTTCCTCAGCCAGCTGAAGGAGAAGGTGCAGCAGGATGCGGCTGCCGCGCCGCCCACCCAGCGCATCCTGGCCGAGGGGCCGCTGGGCGCTTCCCTCCTCTCCGACGACTCAGCGGTGGCGGTGAGCGGGATGGGCGGTGGGGAGGGGGGCACGGGGGTCTCTGGCCGGGGCTACCCTGACCTGTGTCTCCGCAGCCGGATGGCTTGCTGGCCAGCGTCCTGGCCCGGCCCATCCTCTCGGCCAGCGGGCTGGTGTCCTGGGACCGGCGCTTCGCCCAGCCCTGCAGCACCGCCAGCGCCGCCGCCAGCGTCCTGGCCTCCCTGGCGTCACCGCTGCCCGGGCGGACACGCGGCACCTCTGCCGAAAGCCCCGGCTGCCACAGCGACCGCCCGCTCACCGAGGAGAGGTCCTTGCGATGGGGGGTCTGGGGGTGGCCCGGGGGCTCTGCACCCCCCTGGACCGGTGCTGGGAGGCTGGGGGGGCAATGGAGGCGGTGTGGGGAGGGGGTGTCGTGGCAGGGCCCCACGTGCCACCATGGTGCTCACCAGCTCTGCCCGCAGCCTGCTCCTGAGTGAGTCGCGGCTGCGCAGCTTGAGCCGTTCGGCGCTGCTCTCCGAGGTGGCCTCGGCCGAGATGAGCCTCCACGCCATCTACCTGCACGAGGTGTGTCCCCCTGGCCACGCGTCCCCCAGCTCCCCTGCCCGCGGCACCCCTGGGATACGGGTCCCTGGCCGTGCCCAGCTGCGCCCATCCGGGTGCTCTGCCCGTGTCTCCTGCCCACCACCTGCCATGGGTCTTGCCTGGCCTTGGCACTGGTCCCCAGTCCCGTGCCAGGCTGGCCCCTGCGCTCCCTGCTCTGCTGTGTGACCCCACCCCCCCAGGTTTTGGCCGGGGACCCCATGGCTGCTGCCCGACCAGGTGTTGGGGGGGCGAGGCACTGTGGCCAGCGTCGCTGCAGCCATGTCCGCCCTTCTGCCACCCCTTTGGGGGCAGGGGTGGTGTCCTGCGCTGGGAGCCCCCCTCCCTGCTGCCCCAGGGGGAGGCAGCTTGCCATGATGGGGGGCTCTGACCACCTCTCCCGCCCTTCCAGCTCCACCAGCAGCAGCAGCAGCAGCAGGGCCCTGGGCCCCAGACCGTGTGGGTGGCCGCTGGGGCACCGAAGCCTCCCTCCGTAACTGCAGGTGAGCACCGCACCGGGGGTCCTGGAGGACCAGGGACACGTGCTGGGCCCCATCCCCTGCAGGGCTGTCCCAAGAGATGGGGCAGCCGGGGAGGTCCTGAGGGCCAGGACCCCAGGCAGGGTCGGCTCTGAGCCCCGCTGCACCCCAGGCTCGGCTGCCAGGGCCTCGCAGGCTCAGCACCGGGAGATGCCGCTGGGCGGCTGGGCCGAGGAAGAGGAGGAAGAGGAGGAAGAGGAAGAGCAGACGACGGGCTAGCCGGCCTCGGCTTCGGTGGGTGAGGGTACGGCACAGCCAGGCAGCCATCCCTGCTGCCAGGGTTGCTGCTGATGGACCTGTTTTCCTCCACAGGGTCCTGGGCGTGCCGAATGCTCCCGGTGCTGCCGGGAAAGCTGCCAGGAGGTGCTGGCTGGGACCGGGCGCAGCAGGGGGACTTGCCGCTGCCTGCTGTGCTGCCCTGCGGTGCGGGATGGCCCAGCTAGCCTTGCCCGCATGGGCACCCTGCTCGGGTGTGTGGCCTTGCCGGCGGCCCTGCTGCGGTGCGGGGCCGGGGGTGCTGCCGGGGGCAGCCAGCCCTGCAAGGTGCTATATTTGGGGGGCGGCACAGGGTGCCCGGGCTGCCCCATCCTGGGGTTGGTGCCGTCCCCGCTCCTGCCTTCTGCCCGGGCCTCTGCCCCCCACGGTGCCCTGCCACGGGCACCAGCTGCACCAAGCCGCCATGGGAAATAAAGGTTTACAGACGGGCTGTGCCCAGCGGTGACTGTGGCCTGGAGCCGTCGGGGGGCTGGGGGGCCGTGCCGTCGGGGTGTGGGGCTGTCCAGGGAGATGCTGTGGGGGGGCAATGCCGTGGACAGGGCCAGGGTGGTTTGGGGTGTGATGCTGGGGCGTGTGGGCAGGTTGGTGGCGGTGGTGCCGGGGCGGTGCCGCTCGCCTGCAGCTGTGCAGGTCGGAGCCACGAGGACTGTGGCTGTGTCCCCCCACTCCACCCACCCCCCGTTTTCTGCTGCCCCGTGTCTGCCCCGTCCATGGCCGGGTGACTACACCACAGAGCCCGGCCCAACCATGCCCACCCCACCGTTCCTGGCCGTTCACAGTGCTGGCAGTGCTGGTGGTGCCACCCCAGGGGAGGCGAAGCGCCGGGCCGGGATTATCAAAACTAAACCTTTACTGGGGAGGCGGCGCTGCCTGCAGCGGGCCGGGGGGAGCAGCCGTGGGGGCCCCTCCTGCCCCGGCACGCTCAGGGGGTCGGGCCCGGCTGCCGGCGCTCCTGCATGGAGAAGGACTGGCTGCGGATGCGAAAGGCCACCTCCTGCGTGCGGAAAGTGAGGCCGAAGATGTCCTCGTGGTAGCGGTTCTTGTCCTGGGGAAGCAGGCGTCAGGGCAGCGGGCCGGGCGCGGTGCCGGTGCTGGCATGCCACACGTCCCCGGTCCTTACCCGCAGCTCACTGATGAAGTCCCCCGCCTCCCCCAGCGTCATGCCGGCCTGCTGCACCAGGATGTGCTGCACCGTCTGCAGCACCTCGGTGGCCATCGTCACGTCCCCGCAGACGTACATGTGCCCAGCGCTCTGGCACAGCACTCGGTGCACCTCCGCAGCCAGCTGCGTCCGCAGCACGTCCTGCACGTAGGTCTGGGGGACACCGTACCGGGGCAGCTGCTGACACATGGCCCTGGCCCCATGTCCCCATCCCCAATCTGCCCCTTTGTGCCCTGTCCCCATCCTTGTTTCTGTCCCCGTCCTCGCCTGTGTCCCCATCCCACCCTTGCCTCCATCTCTGTCTCTTGTGTCCCCCACCCTACCCCTGTCCCCTCCACTTCTGTCCCCACCCTTGTCCCCACCGCACCCCTTTCCCCAGCTCCATCCTTGTTCCAGTCTGTCTCCATTCTTGTCCCCGTCCCCATCCTGTCCCCAACCCGTCCCACCTTGGGGGTCCCCGGCTCGCGGGAGAAGGCGGTGAAGACCTGGCTGAGGGCCCCCTCCTCCTGCGCCTCCTGCATCTCCTGCCGGTAGATGTGGTCCAGGGCGGAGGAGCGGCAGCCGAACACCAGCACCATGCTGCCCAGGGGGCCGCCTGCGGGGGGGGGGGCAGCGGCAGGGCCCGGTAACTGTGTCCCCATGTCACCATACCCTACATCCC